GCTCGTGTGTGTGTGTGTGTGTGTGTGTGTGTGTGTGTGTGTGTGTGTGTGTGTGTGTGTGTGTGTGTGTGTGCTTACTTGTTTTGGTATGTTACGGAAATATGTGCTTGATTGATTATCTAGCATGGAATGGCTATTAGTCCTTTGGCCTCCATCTGGCCAGGGTTGATTGCTGCTTCACCGCCTTCTTGCACAAGTCTTCGCGATGGTGATTGGAGAAAGGGGAAAATGTCAAAGGCTTGCAAAATTTTCAGGAGCTACAGTTTGAGTCTTTTGTTGCAGCAAATGGAGCCGTCAGATCAATTGCCAGGCTTGTGTGCTAATGCGGTGACAGAGTGGGTGCTTATTTGAGGCACCGGAATGACTGAGGGCTAGACGAGCAATCCAGTGCGTACTGTAGTTAAGAGAGAGAGCAACTACTTAAGGGAGTGATGTGTAAGAGCATACCTGAATCATGCTAGTTGTAGCGCCAGAGTTGCTGACTGTGTAAGAGAGCACTTAAATAGGTCATTAATAACTTGTTGTAGAAGTAGAGAGAGTATTTGAGAGAGTCGCTAGGGAAGATAGTCCTTAGTGAAAGAGTAATTGCTGCAATTCTTATGGGAAGGGCCTCATGTACTAATTTTTTTTTTAATGTACTAAATTTGAAGTACTTGATTCCACGCATAACATATCAGCGAATAGTAATTGCTGCAGTCCTTGTTTCTGTGAGGATATGAGAGAACACTGAACTCAGTGAACTGTATATTAGTTCTTGAGAATTTATGCGGTGTGTGTATCTTCGGGACATTTTAGGTGTCAGAATTTTGATGGTTCAGGGTCTTCAGATCTATTGATGCATGCCCTGTAATGATCCAAGGCAATGCGAAGTCCAGTCGTCACCGTCGTGTGGAAGAAATGTAATGCAGCCAAATGACAATGTGACCCAGATATGATCTCCCACCAGCCAGGGAGAGGTGCAAACACAGAAGAGATCTTCCCACTGAAATCATACACAGATGAAGTGCAGGGTGGGAGATGGAGGAAGGAAGGATGTGGAAGAAGAAGAAGAAGAAGAAGAACCAATGTATGACAGTGCCAAGTAATTGTAGTCTCTCCACCACCTCAAACTTCTCGCCTCCAATCTCAGATCTCGAGTCAGGGAGCCTCACTCATCATCATCTCTCTCTCTTTCTCTCTCTCTCTCTCTCTCTCTCTCTCTCTCTCTCTCTCTCTCTCTCTCTCTCTCTCTNTCTCTCTCTCTCTCTCTCTCTCTCTCTCTCTCTCTCTCTCTCTCTCTGTGTGTGTGTGTGTGTGTGTGTGTGTGTGTGTGTGTGTGTGTGTTGTTAAGAAACCCCAAACTCTCTCTCTCATTCCATCTACAAGCCATCACAAACCATCCATAAACAAAAGAATTATTAACGGGCAATGTAATAGAAAATGCAAGGTTCCCCACGTTCGTGTGGTTGAGCCCACCCACCCGTCTGCCGCGGAAGTGGCACACTTGCACAGGTATATATATATGTTGTCCTCTTCTTCCGCTCTGCCTATGGTTTACCGGGCAGTTCTGTTTGACGATATATATATATATATATTTCTCAATCTAAGGAAAAAAGGTAGACCAAGTGCCCACTCACTGTACAACTCCAGCCTCTGTGTGTGTGTTTCAAAAGGATATACTAGCTGGTGAAAGGCAGAGCCTTGAGCCATTTATGCACTGCAGATGTCTCGATGGAAAAGGTCGGCTATGGCCATCGGCAGACCTCAAAGACATAGCAGCAGGTGTGTGGAGTGCACTGCACCTCCCATCCTCCCCTAGCTGTACTCAGCACTAACTCTACGCATGTTTTTCTATGCTGCTTCTCTACTTTCCCAGCCTGGTGGCACGTGAATGAACTCAAAACTGCCTGTGTACTAATGGACTGTCAGCTCTCATATGCTACTGGGCTGGCCGCCAACCAACGCCACCTCTATCCTATGCCGTTTGATCGAACCAAGATTGAAGATCCAATGGCCTCAAACAAAGGCTGCGTCCTGCTGAGTCGCCCAGGTCCAAACAAGAGGCGTGGGTCCCGACTCTGGTCCAGACTCTGTGTCACTGTCTCGGCAGCTGGGGTTGGACCGTGAACTGGTGTAAGCAGATATGTTGGACACAGGCCCGGCCACAAACAGGCTAGCTGGATCAGAATGTGAAACTGCGTACACCTCAGGTCTTAACTAGACAAACCTGTGCCTTTCTGACAAAAGTCCTGAAAGGCCAAAACATAATCTAGACCAGGACAAAACAAACTGGCACAATAGAAAGAAATGAGAGATGAAAACTCCAAAAACCAATGGAGTCTGCGGTTTACTTATCGCAAAAGAACCACATTGATGCCATTTTTTGATGGAGAGTATGGACATGCCGTATTTGTAAGTAGGGAATGCCGTACCCACAGACCTTCTCCTCACGACTGCTCAGTCTGATTGGAAGCAGTCGCTTCCTCTTCTTGAGTACTCAAAAAGGAATCATTTCGGAGTTCCGCTGTCCCGCTATTCGGGATTACGTTGTTGCTCCATTCTACTATGCTTGGAGTTCGAGCGATAAGGCCATTTCGATGTATCTGGAGTCTGGACGATTTTGCTCAGAAGGTTAAAGGCTGAAAAAAAACTTGAAAACGAAGCCTGGGTGTCCCTCTACCCGGGACTGCCTTTCTCCGTCCTACTGAACATCATTTTTTGAATCTGGACTACAAAACTTAAAAGCACATCGGAAGTAAGCTCAAGGCTCATTCCCGCGTACTTACGCCCTTAGCTCTGAAACTTATCGGAGAGGACAAATGATGACGCCCGACTTCCCATTCTTCACGATTCCACAGGTTCAACTCAGGTTAGATACCCCGTACGTGCGACTTCAGGCGATCTTGATCTTGGATTTGAGTATCTTCAGGTGCGTAAGCGCGTTGGTCCTTTCCATGTCCCCCTTTTTTTCTGATTTTCAGACCCCCCGCTGGTCCCTTTCGTACCTCACTCCTGCCAGCTTGAGTAACATTCTCTGATTAGGTGAATCATCTGGGGCCAGCAAAACATGCAAAGCATGCATCAATCGAAAACAAATTAAACTGAGAACAAACAAACTATGTATACGCCTACCTTCTTCCCCCGAATACAACGTACGGTCATTATAGCTGCATTTGAGCCATCTTTCAGTCTAGATACAGCTATAATGACCGTACATTGTATTCGGGGGAAGAAGGTAGACTCAGAACAAACAGAGTACACTGACAAGTGCCCAAGAGCTCACCCACCTAAGGTCCTCATGATGGCTGAGACTCTCTCAGCTGGTAGAAAGGCCACAAAAAGGGCCTAGGTGGCCGAGGGGCCTGGCGAAAAGATGTCTGGGCCCCTCGAGGCCCAAGCATGCCACAGTCCCACTTCTTAAGAAGTTGAGCCCCTGTGAGGGCAAAGTTGACGATCCGAAGGGCGGACCCGTGTCTTGGGTTGGAAGGCGAGTTGGACTTTTGGTGTTGACGCTCATAGCCGGCCAAGATATCTACTGTCATGGCCTCAAGGTCCTTGCACGTAAGCCGATGATCAGCACAAGGCTTGCAATATGCAAAGCAAACCTTGTAGCTCATGGGCTTGTCGACATTGTGCTGATGTGCAATGATCTCCAAGGCATCCTAAAACCCATCTGTAGGAAGCGCTTGGCACTGCAGTCTGGAGAAGTGTCACTCTCTGCATCACAATAGCGAGCTTGCTTAGTGGAGTGAATCACTTGATGAACAAGTAAATGCAAGGGTAGACACTCGATCGATGATGAATGATGGGTCGCCGCGCTGATCCCTAAAAAAGTAGCCAAAACACGAAAAGGTCCTATCCACTTGGGCAGGAGTTTGCGGGAAACGTCCTGCTCCAATTGACCTCCGCCAGAACCCAAAGACAAGGCGGTCTAATGCAGTCTGAACGTCAGTTTGACATCGGCAAGCAAAACTTGGCTTGAGAACTGGACCACATTGCTCCGTGATGGCGGTCCAAAAGTCAACCATAAACTGAGTGTCTCGATCACAGAAGGTCTTAAAGCACCCAGTACACCATACACAGGCCCGCGGGTGTCAGCGTGGAACCCGCACCACTTAGGAGGCTGCAGATTTTTGTTTTTCAACAGTCCCCACTTCCGCGTGGCCCCCCCGAGTTTTGCTTGTGGCGACAAAAACTTTCTGCGGGGCTGAGGCCGTGTACTGGCGGTCTAAGGGAAACCCTTTATACAGATCCAGCCTCGGCGTAGGTGTCGGAAGGATTAAGGCCAACTCTTTGTGGTGTGGTACCTACTTGGTAAGAGTAGTACTTTGTCAAATGGTCAACGTCAAATGGTCAACCATAGTTATAATCCTGACATGACCAAAGCGATTCTGTGGAAAGGGCCCAGTTACATCCATGGTGATTGAAGCATGGCGCCCAGTCAGAATCAGGAGTGGCCACAATTCTTAAAAGGTTGGGTGGGATGCGGGGACAGTGCTTGAGGGAGGGTGTTCGACAGGAGGGTGGACGCGCCGAGTTCACCCATACCTGCCAAGCTGTGCCAGCGAAGTGAGCCCACCCACGACACAGGCGGCACTCAAGGACAGCTCTTGGCCTCGACCAACAGACAAGGGAGTATCGACTGTGGATCAGCACTTCCCTGATCACTGCGCAGCGGCTCTCCGCGATTGAACTCAGACTCATGCTCAAATCCTTCTAGGGTGACCTGCCGGGAGGCAATTCCTGCTCCG